GCTTGTCGTTTTCATCCTCAGTGTCCGGAATCCTGTTCCTTCAGGATTTTCTGTCTGTGCAGGAAGAGCTTTAGATGCTCAGTGAAGAAACTAACTCTTTCCTACCACTAATTATCTCTGCATACACAGCAAATGAAATACAGTCCCTGCTCCTCATGTGTGAAATGGAACTAATAATAGTATTTCATCAGTTTTGAAATGTTAGAAGTTAGGAGGGGGAGAGAGAGAGGGAGAGAGAGAGAGAGAGAGAGAGAGAGAGAGAGAGAGAGAGAGAGAGAGCACTGAGCAAGGGCTCTCTCAAGTATTATGTCATAGAAATACAGTGCATTATGATAAATGAAGATATTAGCATGGGCTGCTATGTAATCTCTCCTAGGTGAATCTTGTTCTTTTTAATAAAACCTTCAAGAGACAAATTTCTTAATAAAAAGATGACCTTGAAGGTCTTATGAGCACTCTACCAGAAAGGAAGGGGAATTTTCAGACTAAGAAAGGAGCTCTACAGCATCTCACCAATCAAAAACACCAATGTATTGTTTTATGTACAAGCAGAAAAAGAATTTGCTTAGATTTATGTCTTTACAGAAAAAAGTGCATCATTATACTTAGTAATATTGTGAAAACTATTTATTATGCAGGCTAAGTGTGTCAACTTGACCTGTCCTTACACTATGAACACTAAGTAGAAAGTGGGATGAAAAAGAAGTGAATTTAACTCTAATCCTGTAAGATTATGTTTTACAATGGATGGTGATCCTGAGGAATGGAATACTCTGAATTAAAACTTATCTAAGATTAAATTGACACAGTGCTGCTTTGATTCCACTGCAAAGCTATATAAAACTAAGACAAAAAATTTAATGGATCAACTTTAGCCAAAACAAATCAGATTTTCCAGCTTAATCAATGGCTGGATAAATAGCAGTACTCCTACATAATAAAATAAATAAAATAAAATAAATCAGATTTTCTTTTTCCCCCAGAATTATTATGGGGATAAGCAATGGAGACATGTTTATGCAAATATTTAAGTTCAACTTCAAGAGAACAAGTCTTGGAATTATCAGAGCCTCAGTTTCTTTATTTACAGAATTAAAATAACCTACCCAGTTGGTTGTTTTGAATATTCAATGAAATAGTGCAGTTCAGAGTAGCTTATATAAATCCACATAAGGCAAATAATCAGACCAAGAAATTTAATAATTATATTTGTTTCTTTTTAGTTGTTTAATATTTTCTCTGCAGCCCTGTAAGCTTTCAAAAAGGATTCTTACGCTAAAGAATACTAATTTTATACTTAAAAATATATACATTTTTATCCATAACATTCTAGTTGGTATATCTCAATTTACCTGTTTAAAATATTGAATTTTTAATATGAGATAGTATAGTGTTTTCTCTAGTGTTACATAAGAATCTATGAAAATATAATTAACACTGTGTATCTTGTTTATATCACATTCAATTTTTATTGATTGGTAAGACAAGATTCCTTCTAGACAAAATAATAGGCTATGTAATAAAATAATTTTTGGAGAAATGAAGTTAACTTTTCTTGGGGCTCTTTTACTAGTTATTTCATTTCTTTGAAGTTCATAGTATTTTACTATAAAATAGAAATGGTTGTTCTCCCCTTGCATATTTAAAATTAGTATTATATAGTTGGGCCGGAGCAATAGCATAGCGGGTAGGGTGTTTGCCTTGCACACGGCTGACCTGAGTTCGATTCCTCCACCCCTCTCAGAGAGCCCGACAAGCTAACAAGAGTATTCCACCCACATGGCAAAGCCTGGCAAGCTACCTGTGACGTATTCCATATGCCAAAAAAAGTAACAACAAGTCTCACAATGGAGATGTTGCTGATGCCTACTCAAGAAAATTGATGAACAATGGGAGTACAGTGCTATTAAATAGTTGAAGATAGTACTAGATAATATATCAATTTATACATACACACGTATATAAGAATAGATAAGCATACTTAGTGGTATAAAAGATATTGCTGTATTTTTTTCACTTGGTTTCAGTATACTGAGACTGCCTTCCTGATTTCTTTAATACCTGATGAATACTTGAGTTATCATTTATATAATATTTAATTTTAACCACATTTTGTTGCCAAATTAATTATTTGAAAAATAATTTTTATTTATTTATTTTTTGTTCACCCTCACCACTGCGGCCTTTCCCTCCTGCCCTCGAAAAATAATTTTTAAAGAAATTCACATCATTGTTGTAAATGACAAATAAATATCACCTTGAAGTAAATTCAATAAAAATTATTATTGGGATCTAGGAGTTAGTACTGGAGTTAGGGTGCATTCCTTGCATGTTCCCAACACTGCTTCACACTTCAGCACCATGTAACCTCTTAAACATTTCTCAGCATGACCCTAGAGGCCTCCAAGTGCCAGTAAAGTACCTCTGTGTGGCCCCTGGCTCCTGAGTAGTACCACATCCTCAGGCTCTAGCATTAAACTACCAGCCCAGTTGGCCTCCCTGAGTATCACTGGGGGTCTCTCTTCCCCCAATTTTATTAAATTCTAGTTAGATGCTGCTTCCTGATGTGCTTGCAATTTGCTGTCTTTGCAAAGTCAGGGACTAGCAGATGTTAGAGAGGCATTAAAAATTATATTAGTTTTATGTCAGTGTTTTTTAAAACTATATGCAAATCAGAAGTGTTAAACAATATATAAAAGAGAATATAACTTTCACTATAGCATCCTCTAATGCTTCTTAAATGACTTAAAGTTATGTCATCTATGGTCTGTAAACTTTTTTCTACAGTTAGAAAGGAAATTATTGCAGCAGGGAATATAATGGATTGGAAGTCTCTGTTCTGTCCGGTGATGTGGGATGCCAATAATGTTCCAGATCCTTGATTTTAAATTTCAAAAAGGAATGTTAAAATGTAGTATTTCTGGGGCTGGAGTACAGCACAGTAGGTAGGGCGTTTGCCTTGCACATGGCCCAACCCAGGTTCGATTCCCAGCATCCCATATGGTCCCCCAAGCACCGCCAGGAGTAATTCCTGAGTGCATGAACCAGGAGTAACCCCTGTGCGTCGCTGGGTGTGACCCAAAAAGCAAAAAAAAAAACCATATTTCTAAGTGTCCCTAAAATACTCTTCAGTGTTTTGTTTATACTTACAAAAAAGCTAACACTTGGTTAACTAAGTATCTGAGAACATCTCTTTTCTCAAAGCTTCCTTTGTTTTATCACAATGTTTATCACAATGTTGTGTATTTATGGTCATTCTGAACTTTAACATCATAAATTCAACAGATTCACCTTCTGAAGGACATTGGAGAATTCACTTTAATATTGCCTGTGGTAGAAAATTATATACAACATGGTGTGTGAAATTATCAGAAGTTCATGCATAATAGGCTACCCTGACCTCTCCTGCTGAAGTGCTATGGAAGTGTCTTGATTGATATACTCTGCTTTTATAAAGGAAGAGGAGAAAGGATAGATTGCCCTACTTCCAACAAGAATTTTGTGGGCACACCAGAATGAATATAGCATTAAATAAGTGTCGGAGACCATTAGTCTTTTAATGGTTGGGTTCTCAATGATTTAGTGATGACTGTAAACTCAGACCTTGATAATGTCCTCAGCATTGCAAAGCAGAACTTTTAGGTTGATGAGTGACACTATCCTCAGCTTTCCATATTTTATCTTAGCCTTTGGATTTCTTAAGATGGTCATTTGTGTGCTTGCATATGGGGCAGCACATGCCCCCCCCCCCCCCACACACACACACGCACACACACAAGTACAAGATTGTCAAAGATTGCTGGGGATTGTTTTATTAGTGACTTAAAGTTGTCCTTATTGTTTTATTGTGTGAACTAAATGCTCATTTAAAGCTAAGAACATTGAGCTCTTAGTCCCCCAAGCTGTGCTGGTCTTCTTCCCCACCCAGATCAGTTTATCTGTGGGTATTCGAACCCAGGACTTGGCGTTCTCCATGCAAACGCCCCAGGCGTCCTCTGGGACCTTGGAACAAAAGCAGCCCGGAGCCTCTGCCTCTTCCTCTTCATCCCCCAAGCTGTGCTGATCTTCTTCACCACCCAGTCTTTACCCACCCACCCCCACACCAGGTCCCGTGGGGCGTGGCTTCTGTAGGAGTGGGCGTGGCTCCTGTAGGGGTGGGCACGGCCTAATTTTAGGTGGGTGGCCGCTATGTGGCCACAGGTAGTTTAGTCATACCGAGAAATCTAGTCACCATACCTACACACAAACATAAAGCTAAGAACATTGAATTTTATCATTGATTATTACAATAATGTAATTAATGTGTTTTCCGTGCTTCACATTTAAGACCTGAGATTAAGAGGTATGTTCAGGCAAACTGATCAGTAATAAACTGAAGCAATAATCCCTTAGGTCGGCACTGGACCTTTTGGTTGGACAGGCCAGTGTTTTTCAGTGCAACTATACTTCATTGCTAACTTGCTATCCATTCTTATTCCACACTTTCCTGCTTGTCCTACCAGTACCTGACTCATTTCTCTCTTGGAATTGTGATTTCTAACTGGAACCACTGGATCTGTTAACAATGCCACCTTTACTACTCCTCAAGGAGTAATTGCTCTGGATTCATCCCAAGCTTCTACTTATCTTTTGTCACTTTGGATCAAACATAGTCACTAAGGATTCTGCAGTCAGTCAACTGTGTTTGGTTATAGTTAGCTATTGCTGTCTCCAAAATCTATCTATATAACCCCTGGGTATGAATATAATGTTATATTGTCTCAGATGAAGAAAATCTCAGTTACAACTGGGAAAAGCAAAATGTAGTTTGATTCCTTTAAATTAAATCTGACCAGTATTAATAAAAAAGGAATTTTTAGAGTAAGTCATCAATATGAATGCAAAGTAGCTATGGCTTCTTTCATGGGGAAAAATTAAATTAAAAGTCTCAAGGACAAATATCAATAACAGCTTAAATAAATAGTATGTTGGACTGAAATGTCACTCTATTTCTATTTCAGCCTTCTGTGGGAATGCTTCTGCCAATATGTGGTTTTGGCTTTGCTAGGCAAATACATGAGAAGGTACTTTTTGTCTCCTAGATTTTCAGCTGGTAATCAGTATAACGTAACACTACTGACTGGTTAAACTTGTTACTGTCTACCTTCACAGGGACCTTTAAGCCTAGAATATTCCTCTCTGTATTTCAAGGTCAACAACCAGTAAAAATGCTCTCTGTCTCTCTCTCTCTCGATCTCTCTCAATCTATCTCTCTACCCTCACGCTCATTCTCTTTTCCTACACCCCTCTTCTCTTTCTCTTCATGATTCTGTGTGTATTTGTGTATGTGTGTGAGTGCTCTGATATAAAATAGTATATTCTAGAGTCCATTGATACAACCATAGAAAAATTTAGTACAGCTCTTGACACAAAGTAACAATTTGCAGTGTTAGATAGGAATATTTTTCAGTTTCCTTACTGCCTGATTCTAAAAGTTCTCATTCCTCAAATGTAGATTACTCCTGGTTCAGGTTCTAAGAAATTTAGAATAAATTATAATTAGCATAGATTAGGTGCCCAGAATGTGACTGGAATCTCCAATAAGAGCACTTTAAAAGTGAGATAAGGCCAGTGGCTCGCTATCACCAGTCTTGTTTATATCCTAAATTAAAATCCTTTTAATATTTTTGTTTGTTTGTTTTGGTCCACAACCAGTGAAGTTTAGGGCTTACTCCTGACTCAGAGATCATTCCTGATGGGCTCAGGGGACCATATTGGGTCCCGGGAGTTTGGGTTGACTTTGTGCAAGTCAAGTGCCTTACACAATGGATCATCACACTGGCCCATAAAAATCCCTTATATGTTAATTTATAAAAAGGCCCTCCCATTGTTCGTCGATTTACTCGAGCGGGCCCAGTAATGGCTGCATTGGAGACTTTGTTGTTACTGTGTTTGGCATATCAAATACTTCACGGGGAGCTTGCCAGGCTCTGCCGTGCGGGCGAGATACTCTCGGTAGCTTGCCGGGCTCTCCGAGAGGGGCGGAGGAATCGAACTCGGGTTGGCCATATTGGCTGCGTGCAAGGCAAATGCCCTACCCGCTGTGCTAATTTATAAATATACATTCATTCATAAGTATATATGTATTCATTGAATTACTGTGAAATGCACAGCTACACTGTTGTTTATAATTTTGTTTCAATCAAACAATGTTCCATCACCTGCCCCTTCACCAATATACATTTCCCACTACCAATGTCCCCAGTTTATCTCCAGTCACCCTTCCCTCAGCCTGCCTTTATGGCAGGTACTTTTCTTCTCTCTCTCTCTCTCTCTCTCTCTCTTTCTTTTTCTCTTGCTTTATTACTCCTTTTGGGCATGGTGTTTTGCAATACAGGTACTGAAAGATTATCATGTATATCCCTTTACCTACTTTCAATACTTAGTTCTTCTCCAGAGTGATCATTTCTAATTATATTGTTATATTGTTAAATCCTGTCTTAAAGAAGAATTTTCAAAATCAATTAAGTGTATAGTATTCTGGGAATGGCATGTTGCAAAGTTTCAGTCAAATAGTAATGTGTATAAACATAAATGTATGATCTATGGAAACATTAATAACTCAGGTTTTAATTGTAATTTCCTTACCTAAAATTATTTTGCTTTCCTTCAAGTAATTTGTAAGCAATATTTCTTAAGAAATTTATCTTAAGGCACCACATTAAGAAAACCAAACCTCTAAAATATCATTTATATTGGAAGATCTTTAATAAACACGAGGAAGAAAAAGTTAGAGAAAAAATAGTAATGTTGTAAACTGTCCACTTGTAAGGGAAAATTTCTAATTTTCAGAGGAATTTGTACTATAAACTTCATCAGTGAAGAAAGCAGATGTTTTATCAGTTATGACTATGCTGAGTCAAACTAAAACCAGAACTAAACCTCACAATGTGGGGGTTCAGAGCGATAGTACAGTAAGTAGGGCACTTGCCTTGCATGAGGCCAATGGGGTTCCATCCCTGCCATCCCATTTGGGCCCCCAGTCCTCCAGGAGTGATTCCTGAGCACAGACTCAAGAGTAAAGTCTGAGCACCCTGAGTTGTGGCCCCCACCTTAAGTCCAGTACTGCAAATGAAAGATTGAGATGAGGAGATCTGGTTCAAAGAAAGTAAATTTAAACAGAAGTTGATAGAGAAGCTGTCTTCATTCTGGAGAAACATTTGTTCTCTCTTGAAGCTGAATCTACCTCTCTCTAATTATTTCCACAATGAATTTGTTTAGTTAAAAAATAAAAGGAGAAGAGAGAAGAGTAGAGATCTTTCTGAGGAAGTGATGCCTAAACTGAAACCTGAAGAATTATAGAAGAATGAATCTAGAACTATAAGACTGGGAGTATTAGACTGGGGTAATACTAGGCAACGGTCCCTGGAGAAAAGGGCTTGTGTATTTCCGTTGCCTGTTGTATAAAGGATAAAAGTGATTTCCAGTGAAATACCGATTTCATTGATTTGCTCGAGCAGGCCCAGTAACCTCTCCATTTTGAGACTTGTTGTTACTGTGCTTGCATATTGAATAGTCATGGGTAGCTTGCCAGGTTTTGCCGTGCGGGCGAGATACTCTCTCTCGAAATACTCTGGTAGCTTGCTGGGCTCTCCGAGAGGGGCGGAGGAATCAAACCCGACTTGGCAGGGCTGGCTGCACGCAAGGCAAATGCCCTACTGCTGTGCTATCGCTCCAGCCCCAGTGAAATATATGATTAGGAATTGGCTAGGTAAGTCAGAATTGTGGATGCCTACACATTGAGACATGAAGAAGGTGTTTCTTTTACAATTTTTATTGAGCATCAAGCTAATACTATAAATTCAAAAAATTGAATTCTTATTGTATTGTATAACACTAAATAGATACTATTGTGCTGTCTAACATTAAATAGATTATCTGTTAATCCCTATGCTACAAACTGGGGTTCCCCATCCATGACCAGGCATTAACCATCATCCTATCACTCTGCTTGATTCTCCAAAACATCATCTAACTGTAATTTTTCTTGGCCATAGTCCATGTTTACAAGATCTGCTTTTATTTTGAAAACTAAGAAATATTATGTTTTATAATGAAGAGGCAATATGGTTGTCTCTGAAAACTAGACAGAGTTTTTACTGCTCAGATTCAGGGCCTTTCTCCAGACTTCAGTTGACTTATCAACCCTGTGTGAAAACCAGGGACTCCATCTGCTTTGCTTTTCTTCTAGTTGTCAATTGCCAAGCTGTTTTAATTTTTTTTAAAAAATCTTTATCCTTAAACCCACATGATTTCTGTGATCTAAGCTTGCATTTTCAAAAGAGCAAAAAATTTACATGTGATTTACTGCTTATCATGATCATTGATAAGCCCCCAGAGTGGGATAAAGGCCAAGAAGCACTGTAGCACTGTCCTCCCATTGTTCATTGATTTGTTTGAGCGGGCCCAGTAACGTCTCCATTGCGAGACTTTGTTGTTGCTGTGTTTGGTATATCGAATACGCCACGAGTAGCTTGCCAGGCTTTGTCGTGTGGGCGAGAGCCTGGTAGCTTGCCAGGCTCTCCGAGAGGGGCGGAAAATCGAACCAGGCTCGGCTGGGCAGGCTGCGCACAAGGCAAACTCCCTACCACTGTGCTATCGCTCCAGCCAAGAAGAAAGAACTTACAATATTTCAATGTTTAGCCATTTAATACTTATTGTGTTTCTGAGGTTATATGATGACTCAGTGGCCTGTGTCTTTAGATTTTACTTCTAAAAGCATAGTTTTTCATTCTTACTTTCTGTCCCATTACACCTTTATTACACAGTCTTTTCTCAGTGCTACAGGCACCTTTGAAAAAAGCCTTGGTTTGGGGAACAAAAGGTGACTATTTGTAAACATCTCTAAACAAAGTTCATTGCAACATGCAAAATGAAATGGACTGTTGTGATCATTTGAGTCTATTTTCTTATTAGAAAAGTGAGAGCAGTAACCCCCACTCCTTCAGAAATTTTGGGTGGAGTATGTTTGACTACAGGTATACATGTATAAATTGCCATACATGAATATAGAAATTCATACCTCCATAGGCTAAAAATCAGATAAACACAGAAAACTTAACTTTTATTAATTTTATTTTTGGTTTTGGAACCACAATTACTGGTGCTCAGGGCTTACTCATGGCTCAGCACTCAGGGATCACGCTTGGCAGTGCTCACTAGACCACATATGGTGCCAGAGGTCAAACCCAGGTTTGCTCTGCCCACTGCACTGTACTCTGGCCCCAAAGTCAGAAAACATTAAGGTAGAAGTTCTAATATAATTGATGGGGAAAAATAATTTTAAAGATTCCAGATTTTCTTAGTATTACATAATCAAAAAAATCAATGAGAACTTTTTTCTAGTGCATAGAGAAGAATAATCTATATATGTATAGATAGATAATTATATTATTAAAATATGGGAGAATCATAGAATATGTATGAAAGTGGATATTTAAAAATTAGTTTGTTCTAGAGATGATGTGTTTTGGTATTTTTGTTTTGTGTTTTTGTTCATTTGATTTTTGTTTTTTGGGCCACACCCAGTAATGCTCAGGGCTTACTCTGGGCTCTGCGCTCAGGAGTTACTCCTGGGGATTCCCAGGGAACCATACGGAATGCTGGAGATCAAATCTGGGTTTGCTACATGAAGTCAAATGCCCTACCTGCTATACTATTGCTCTGGCCCCTAGTGGTGATATTTTTAAAATAAATTATAAATGTTTTTTTCAAGCATAATAAAAAAAAAAAGCTTGAAAATTTCAGTTGTATCACATTATTTGCAAGTTCCAGAGACAGGTTATAACCTAGACTTCTTCCTATGATAATTCTCGAAAATAATTTCTGCCTAATGTCATTTTACATTTGTGAGTAAGCTTTTGTCAGTAGATTTTCTCATCAGGAATGTGTTGATGTTATCAGAGATTTTAAGTACAACAAAAAATGCTGTTATGATTGAGAAAATTGCTAATACCACGTATGACCTGCCTGAGAGATAGGAAATTGAAAATATGTTGTTTACTTTTATATCCTATTAGCAAAG